CTCAATTTCAGTTACATACACCTTAAACATGTCAAGCGCTTCACTTTTATTCTTCATTAGATATACATAAGTATAATCAGAGCAATCATCAATAAAAGTGATAAAATAACGTTTATTATTTCTAGTTAAACTTCCATCTAATTCACATATATCAGAGTGTATAAGATCTAGGGGATCAGATTCTTTTATTATTGATTTATGTGAAGTCTTTGTTATTTTAGCTTGACTGCAAAATTCACATTTATTGGAATCATTAATATTTAGTTTAGGGATTAGGCCTATGTTGCTTGCATTAGAAATGATTTGTTTATTAACGTGACAAAGTCTACCATGCCAAATATTAAAATCACACAAAAAGTAAACAGAAGGAGAATTTTTATTCAAATCAACATTCAACTTAAACATGCCATCAGTGGCGTACCCTTTTCCCACAAAAATATCATTCTTAGTGATGGTGTACAAATCTGCCCCTAAAGTTTGACTGAACCCAGCCTTATTCAGAAGAAGACAAGAAACAAGATTCTTCCTAATTTCAGGAACATGCATGACGTCCTTCAAGATCAAAGTCTTTCCTGAAGTGAACTTCAGTTCAACATCTCCAATTCCAGCAACATTAGTGGTGTGAGCATCTCCCAACAACACTTTCTTATCTTCAGTATTCATGTATGTCTTGAACATAGCACGATCATAGCAGACATGACGAGTGGCGCCAGTGTCTATCCACCAACCGTCACTTCCACCAACCATGTTGATTTTAGTGATCATGGCAATTAGTTTCTCATCAGTCAGGTTAACCTGTGTATTTGAGCCAGCTGCAGGTTTAGGCCTGCTCCTACATTTCTTTGTCATATGGCCCGGTTTCCCACAATTGTAGCAAGAGAAAATCGGAGCATCATTTCTTTGAGGTGGTGGTTGTTGCCTAGCAAACGGAGCCGATGGGGCCCTAGAGGGATTCCCATTCTTAGTTCGGTTCATAGCACAGCGGTTCTGATTCTTTAAAGGTTTGCCCGTAGGCTTCAGAACCGCACCAAACTTCTTTTTGTTGTCGTAAACAACTAATACTTCTTCTTTCTGATCTTGTTTCCGAGCCTCCTCTTCAATTCGGAGGCGAGTAATCAGACTCTCGATTGAAAATTCTTTTGTTTTGTGACGAAGTATATTTTTGAAATCTTTCCAACCAGGGGGCAGTTTGTCAATAATTACAGCAATTTGAAATTGTTCATTAAGGGGCATACCTTTTGTAATAATCTCATGAGCAATCTTCTGAATTTCGTGGCTTTGAGTTTCCACCGACTTCTCATCCACCATCTTGTAGTTCAAGTAGCGGCTGACAGCAAATTTCTTCGCACCTGCTTCTTCAGTATCATATTTCCTTTTCAGAGCCTCCCATACCTGTTTAGCAGTTCTGTAGCTACTGTAGTAGTCGTACAGATCATCAGCAAGGTTGTTCAGAATGTGATTTTTGCACAGATAATCATTCTTGTTCCATAAGGCGATTTCTTTTCGGAGCTGCAGATCATCTGCTGCAGCCTTAGCTTTTGCAGCATCTGAGTCAGACATTTTGGAAGTCCCGTCTGAATCTGCAAGTGAGTTACCGTTAGGTAGTTCAGATGATGCAGAAGGGACAACCGGGATATCCTCAGTCAGAACGTGGGCAACCTTTTTCAGAGTTAAGAAAAATTTCATCTTAGCTTGCCAACGTTTGAAATTGGAACCCTCAAACCTGAAAGGTTTGTCAGAGACCAAAGCGGCCGCAGTAGTACCGATAATTTCCTCAGTTGCCATGGCAGTTATGAAATCGTCTTAAAATTGTTGTTTTCGAATTTGAAATATTGGCACAAGGAAATTATCGGGACGAGTCGCGTACTAGGCGTACTAGGTCGCTTTCTTTAAGACGTTTCGTCGTACTGCCAAAATATGCAAAGCAGTCGATTTACGACGACGCCAAATCGACGCCTCCAGGATAAAACATCCCGTTCAAAATTACGATTATCAGTTGCACACTGATAAATCGCTCTAGAAATACACCTTTCTAAATTATCTGGCGAAAATAGCCAGTCACTGGACTGGCTGTAATAGTCAGTCGAAAAAACCAAGAAAAGAAAATTGTTTAGATGAAGAGAATTAAGGGAGAGAGAGGGAAATCAAAATTCGTGTGAATTTGTGAAATCCGGAGTGCTCACTACTGAATTTTTACCCTTTATTTATAGGTAGCTAGTGAGGCTGATATTTCCATTCCTCCAATGTGGGACTAAAATGAATTTTGTCAAATTCACTTTCCAATTCCCATTAATATAATTCCAACATCCAATGTGGGACTAACATGACTCTTTTCAAATTCACTTTCCAATTCCCATTAATATAATTCCAACATCCAATGTGGGACTAACATGACTCTTTTCAAATTCACTTTCCAATTCCCATTAATATAATTCCAACATCCAATGTGGGACTAAAATGAATCTTTTCAAATTCACTTTTCAATTTCTATTACTATAATTATTATAGTTCCAACAGATTTTGTAAATCATTTTTTATGAAATATCATACACTACTATTATTATTTTATATATACTGCACCAATTCATTTCACTCTATTTTATAAGTGATTTGGTAATTTTTAATATATTTTTTAAATTATATTTTATAATTATAAGTTAAAAAGTTAGTAAATTTATTTTTATTATAAATAAGACATTGTGATTAAATAAATAGTAAATGATTAAATCTAAAATATATTTGATTATTTTGTCAATTAAAATATATTTAATTAATTTGACTTAGTTTAATTTAATATAAGGTGAAAAATATAACTCGACTAGTTTGTGGTATAATATAACATTTATATGGTTATAATTTGTTTTTACTAATTTAACTTTCTTCTCCTATTATATCAATTATTAATAAAAAATTTATATCCTTTTTGAAGAAAAATATTAATATAAATGTTACTTTATTTTATTAAGGGTCTTATTATAAAAATTAAAACATGTCTCTAATTTATTCGGGCTGGTCTTGAGAACACCTGTTATTTACCACGACAATCAAAGTGTAATTTATATTATCTTAAGAGAATTATACATTTAAAAATTGATTGTCACATTGTGCGAGAAAAATAAAGTTGAGGTGTCTTGAAATCTATGCCGGTCAAATTCAGTAATCAACTTGCTCATTTGTGCACAAAAACTCTTCATTCTCAACTCTTCAATACATTATTACTCAAGTTGAAGATGATAAACATTTATCAACTTTCAACTTGTGGGGGCTATATTAAAGCATGTGAAGCATGATAATATGATGAGACCATGCAACATGACAATAATACCACCATGCATCATTAATAGATTGTTAATTCGGTTATAATTCAGTTGAGTTAGTTATTGGTTTGTAACTAACCCTTGAAGAAATGATAAAATATAGCATAGTATAACTTTTTCAATGGTACAAATCACCTTATTCTATATAAAAATGTGTCACTCTATTATAATTTTTCAATGAGAATTTCACATTTACCATGTTCATCTTGATTAATTCAATATTTTTATAAAAAAATAAAACCATGATGATTGAGTAGTCTTGATCCTGATGCGTCTCTAAAATGAATACATTTTTTCCGAAATTATCACTTATTCAATTATTTAATGTCACAATCGTCTTATCAATTATATAATATCATTTTTTTTTTATCTACCTGGGACTAATGCCTAACAAAACTTTTGCTACCAAATTTTCTTCCTAATAATAAATGTGACAATCCATATGTCACCAATCTCTGCTACAAATTTAAAACATAATATAAGACATGAAAGCATCCTTTAAGTGTGAGAGATGTAATCAAGGGACACGTGGTTTTGTATCAAGCCAATTGATGTGAAATTCTCCATATTATTATGATACTATTCAAATACAATACATGTGCTATGTCACACTCATACTATATATCCCCTCCCTTTAAAATTTATGTTGTTTAAATTTTCTGTATATAGATTAAAATTGTAAAATAATATGATATTTTAGTTAAGTTAATTTTATTAATTATTAATGTGTTTATCATCATTAAAAATATATAATGAAATATAATTATTTTAGGAGAAGTTTATATGGATTAATTAAATAGTATAACAAAACATTATTTTAAAAAAAACAAATAAAATTTCTTTTTAATTTTATTTTTTAATAAATATGACATTAATGGGATACTCATTAGTCTATAGTTTAAAATAAATAATTTTTGTTTACATTTTTATTTAAATTTAAAAATGAATTTAGTTTTTGTATGCGATCGGTATAAATAATTTAAAATGTTAGTTCATCAAAAACTACAGTAAAAATTCTTTAAATTAATAATGACAGGATCGGAGAATTTTATTAATTTAGAGAGTTATTAATATATCAATAAATTAATAATTATTAATTTAAAGAATTTTTAAGTAGTTATACTGTATATACCAAACAAAAAGGCAAATTAGTCTATGCCTCTTAGAATTACATTGCAGCGAACCTTAGGACTCAACGTAAATTAGTAACTACTGTGTTCATATGCATTGAAAATCAATAATGACTTTTGAAGTACAGCAAATGTAAACAAGAGGAACAAATGTGTTCAATGTATTCTTAAGCAAGTTTGCCATATATAAATTACATGAATGTGTTAGAGTATTCAAACCATATCTCACAAAATGGCTTCTCATCTAAAAGGTGTTGCAAAATCAACTATGTCAGATCAAATACGTAAGGAGTTGTGTGAGTACAAGAGAGATAATCCTGCAAGCACACAAAAAGACTTGCAGAGATGGCTTGAGGGAAAATTTTAGTTGAAAGTTAGTCAAGGAACAATATCAAACACACTTAAATGGTCAGATGACTATCTCTCAGCTGAAATAGAAAAGGGAAGAGCAGAGAGAAAAAGACACAAACCAGCAAAATATCCTGACATGTAGAAGGTTGTTTATGAGTGGTTTCTCCAACGTCAAGAATGTGTGAATATCACAAGAGATACAATGAAACTCGTGTACCCTCATGATGATTCAGATTTTAACTTCTCTATAGAATGGCTTGGGAAATTCAAGAACCGACATGGCATAAAGTCATTTCGTCGTTTTGGCGAGAGTGAGTTTGTTGGTGTACAAGACATGGAGCAGAAATTGGTATCGATTTGGGAGAAAATTGATCAGTTCCCTATGAAAGGTGTTTTCAATATGGATGAAACTGGATTGTTTTATAGGCTACAAGCTGATCATTCACTGGCAACAAAACAACATGAAGGAAGAAAACAAGATAAAGAAAGGCTGACGGTAGTTATTTGTTGCAATGAAGATGGCTCTGAAAAAATCCTCTATGGATTATTGGGAAATATGCAAAGCCTTGTTGCTTCAAGAATGTCAACACGAATAGCTTGGATTGTCAGTATCGAGCTAACAAAAAAGCATGGATGACTAGTATGTTTTTTGATGAATATGTTTGTTCATTTGACCAAATGATGCCTGGTAGAAGAGTTCTACTTGTGGTGGATAATTGTCCAACACATCCAAGAAATATTGAAGGGCTAAGAAACGTTGAGTTGTTCTTCTTGCCACCCAACATGACATCAAAGATTCAACCTTGCAATGTTGGGATAATAAGAGCTTTCAAGATGCATTACCGTAGAAGATTTTACCGCAAAATGTTGGAAGGTTATGAGGTGGGACAATTTGATCCAGGGAAGATAAATGTCTTTGATGCTATCAATTTGGCAATCCCAGCTTGGACGATAGATGTTCGAAAAGAAACAATAGCGAATTGCTTCCGACACTGTAAAATTTGTTCAACTAGTGACGTTGCAAGAAATTTGGATGAATCCACTTTTGATGAAGAAATTCAAGACCTCGAGACTATGATCAATCAATGTGGCTATCATAATAAGATGGATATCGAAAATCTAATGAACTACCTAGGTGAAAATGAAGCATGTTCGGAGGTTCAGAGTTTAGAAGATATTGTGAGTACTATCATTGAGAACAATGTAGAGGATGACGACGAAGATGATACGGTGTCTTTGGAGCTTGTTATGCGAAAGGAATCACTTATGCCGTCGAACACTCTTCACAACTTTATGATACAATACAAAAATACAACACCTGAGCTATTGGACGCAATAAGAAAAGTTAGATATGAACTCCAAATAGACTTGAACTTTAAAGAAAAACAAACAACTATTGAATCATATTTCAATAGTGTAATATATATTTTTTTTCAGTTTCTATGAATTATTAATTTATGATTTTCTTGAGACAGAAAATTATAAAGAGATCTCTCAAAAAATTATTATCTTATTATTTTATCGAGTTTTTCAGTTTTTTACATTGACCCAAATCGGGACCGGACAAATTTATTATTTTAAAAAATTTATTAATTTATCAAATATTAATTTATAGAGTTTCTACTGTATTATGCATATAAATTTAGATGTGATTCATATATAATATAAATATTCTTATTGATCTAGTTTTGGATAGTGTAAAATATATTTACATTATCAATACAATTAAACTAAATATTTAAAAAAAAATACAATAAATAATTGAATATGCGTAATAGTTATATATAAAACAATAATAAAAATAAATAAATTATATAACCATGAAAATATATCAGATCAGTTAAACTTTAAAAACATGAATTGATCTATGATAAAATTTTCTAATCTTAGCTTTATTTATGGCTGAGGATAGAACTTTTTTTTTTTTAACTTTTTAAAAATTTGATTGAACCTTACTATTTAAATTCTATATTATATTAAATAAGTGACGAATCTTGCCCCAAATATTAAGGGATGCAGGAAATATTAAATAGAATACTATAATAAAAATTTATAAAAGTATATATAATATTTTTTTTGTTTAGTCAACATATTATTAGTCTAAAATACATAAATAAATTATTAATATTTGTGAGATATTGGATCGAACTCTAGTATGGTCGAAGTCGGTTCGCGAGTAATGCGTGTTGTAACGCCCCGATTCTGATTTCCCATTTTGTTGAGTCTTTTTGATTTATTTGGATGATTATTATTTTAATTGTGGAATTTATGTGTTTAAATGTTATGTTTGCATATTATGCTATTTTACCGATTTTGAGAGTTTTCGGGGAAAATAGATTGGAGGGTATTTTAAACATTTAGTATTTAATGTTAAGTTGGATATTTTGTGAGAAAATGGATTTAATAGATATTTTGAGAGAAATAGAATAGAAAGAAATATAAGTGGAAAGAGGAGAGAAAAGAGATAGAAATAGAAAGAAGAGAAAAGGAAGAGGAGAAAGAGAGGTAAAAGCTTGGAGAATCATCAAGAACAACATCTAGGCTTCGATTTAATCGGGTAAGGGTTATCTTATTATTCTCTCCATGTGTATGATTATGTATGCTTTTGTTGGATTGGTTTGGATTGTTGGAGAGTTTCTACTCATTTACCATTTTAGGGCAAAAGTTGGATTTAATCGGTAGGATCGATGTTTTAATGGTTAGAATCGAGAATGAATGGCGTAGTTTAGTCGAGGAATGTGAGGCTAAGACTACTGGAACTTGTTGGAATTGAATCGGTTGATTCGGTGATGATTTGGTGATTTTGGACAGTTGGAGTTTTGAACATCGCAGACGCTCGCTAGTACCTTCGCTAGGCGAGCAGGTCGTGAGTGTTCGCTGTAGCGAGCTCGTAGCGAATGGTCCCAGACTTGGACAGAATGGAAATGATCCTCTTCGCTGGTAGCGAGCGAGGTAGCGAGGGGTTCGCTAGGCGAAGCCCCAGTGAGTGACTAGCGAGTACAACTAGTAGCTCAGGATCAGGCTTCGCTAGCACGTTCGCTAGGCGAGCCTGTAGCGAATGTTCGCTAGGAACTCGCTAGGCGAGCAAGCTAGCGAGCATGACAGCAACTTGTTTTATTTTATTGCTTCCATCCAATGTTGACGATTCCGATATATATGTTTATAACGTATAGCTGTGTGCTGTTATATGATATGTTGTGGGTAGCCGCATGACATGAATCCTAGATTATGGAATCGATTGTGAAATGTGGCCTTTTGGCATATATATGTGTGCATTGTTTAAATTGATTAGAAATGCGTGGTGATTGTGATGGAGTTTGTTGCCGTATGGCATGATATTGTGAATGCATAATTGAATTGTATGCGATAGAATGTGATATATGATGAATACAATATGGAAAATGCATTGTGAATGTATGATGATTTTATGAAATTATATGAGTAGAATGCATGAGCATTATGAATATGTATGCATTTCAAGAAGTGTATGGAGTCGTTTTGCATGTGAAGCATCATGATATACCTTCTTGTGCTGGTTGATTCCGCGTAGAATATGTTGAACGATTGTGTGCCCGTGTGGGGTGTGAGCAATCGGATTGTGTGCCCGTGTGGGGTGTGAGCAATCCTGAAACATCGTGTGCCCATGTGGGGTGTGAGCGATGGGTGAACATCGTAGGCCTGACGGGGAGTTACTTTGGTAACGAGCGATGGTTCCATTTGGTTCTTCAATTGAACCTGCTGATTGAGTCAGTACCGCACGTGCATCTGCATAGAGTCGTGAGTCGGTCTCTATAAGTTGCATTTATCATTATGAATTGTGTATTGGTGAATAAACATAACTGTAAATGTTTATGTGGAGTGATGAATATGTTTAGTGTGAATATATATACATTGTGATGTATATGAATGAATGGTGAATATATGCATGATGAATATGTTTGGTGAATTATATATATATGATTGCATTGTGATGAATATGGTGAGAATGGTGATGTGTATTATTATGTAAATATATAATTATATGCATTGATTATTATGATAATATTTCTCACCCTTCTGCTGTTTTATGATGCTCTATGAGGCATTACAGGGTAGGATTGCTGGAGGTCTTTTGTGAACCGTGGCTTCATGCTTTTTGGTCGATTGGCTCTGATATGTAGCACCGGGTAGCTAGGATTGTATAGAATTCTTTTGTGATACGTTGTATATGTATCTGCTGACGAATGTTTATGAAAACATGTTGAATGATGATGTGAATCATACTGAATGGTATGTATATATATGTGTGTGTGTGTGTGTGTGTGTGTGTGTGTGTTTGAAGTGATTCAATGTTTAGATTTTCCGCTTTTATTCTAAATATTGAGATGTGGGTGTAAGGACTAAGTTCCTACATTTTGAAAGTTACCCCACTGTTGCATATCTTGTTGAGCAGGTGTTGTATGTTTTAATTTTATGGATAATGTGATATACCTCTTTTATACCATGTTTTAAATATACTCTGATAAATGAATTGTTATATGTGCCTAAATGATTTACTTGATTATTTGGGGGTATAGAAAGGGGGTGTTACACGTGTTGTAGTCGAAGTTTGTTCTAACATGCATTAGTCAATATTGCTAAGTTTGTTAGCATGTTGAATTTGGTCTTACTTGTAAGCCCAATTGTTTAAGTTAACTCGTACCATAAGTTAGCTTGTAATGGGTAATTGTTAAAAAGCCTATTAGGTTAGTGTGCTAATTTTCTTATTAATAGCATGCTAGTCTCCCATCTTGGTATAAGGAAAAATAGGAAGATAAAATCCTAATTTCCAAGAGAGAGAGAGGTTATTTTGTTAATCTTGTATACTTGTAATCTTGATTCTAAGAGAAAGGAAAGAATAGCAGTTTATAACCAATCCTTGTTGTTCCTTGTTGTTTTACCTTATTTTCTTTGTTAACCTTAACCCTTGTGTGTTTCTTGATCATAAAGAAATCGTTTATACTTTGTTTCAAGGTATTCGATTCACAACAAATTGGTGCGGTGAGCGTGGAAAAGATGCCTTCAACAAAGTATGAGATTGAAAAGTTCACCGAAGTGAACGACTTCGGTCTGTGGCGCTTGAAGATGAAAACCCTATTGGTTCAGCAAGGTTGTTTAGAAGCATTGAAGGGAGAAGCAGCCATGGACGTTGCGTTAATGACAAAAGAAAAGAAGGACATGATTGAGAAAGCCCACAACACAATATTGTTGAGCCTTGGTGATAAGGTTCTTCGACAGGTATCAAAGGAGACGACAACATCGAGATTATGGGTAAAACTTGAAAGTTTATACATGACTAAATCTCTGGTGAATCGAATCTACCTGAAGCAAGCTTTGTATTCATTCAAGATGAGTGAAGACAAAGTGTTGGATAAGCAGTTGGATATATTCAACAAGCTGATTCTTGATCTTGAAAATATTGATGCGAAGATCGATGATTAAGATCAAGCATTGTTGTTGTTGTGTGCTTTGCCTAGAAGACATGCTCACTTTAAAGAAACTCTCTTGTATGGAAGGGAGTCCCTGAGCTTTCAAGAAGTTCAATCAGCCTTGTATTCTAAGGACTTGAACGAATGAAAGGAGCATAAACCTTCTACGGTGGGCGAAAGTTTGGCTGTT